ACGCTTGTCATACCTGCTGTCATTGTTTTTTGGTCAGATTTTAACTCTGAAGAAAACCTTTTTTATAAGACGACACTTTTTATTTGTGTGCGTTGTTATAAAAAATATTCAACAGTACCTCTGTTTTTTAGTTGTTTAAGTCACTTATCCACGACGGTTTTTTGTTACCATCATCTTTTTAAATACAACAACGGTTTTTTCTTCTACTGTCGTCTTTTTTTGGTCGTCTTTTTCACTTTTTGTAGTAGTGAGGAGTCAAAGACGTATTACCGTCTTACATGATATTCTTACAAAAAGTTGGTTAGTGATAGCAGAAAAAGATCGGCACCAAAGTGTTGTTGCTCCCTTCCTACCATTGATTTTCCACCCTCAATGGCCAACCCCAATTCCTAGACCTGCCCCGTCGGAGGAGAGGTAATTGATATTCGCTGCGAATAAATTGCTTGTTGATGTTACTTGAGGTCTTAGTATAGTGGCTATGTACCAAAATGTTTACTCAAGAGAGACTGAAACTTGAGGTCTTAGAAGTTTGAAGACGTATGTTTAGAGTCTACAACTTTGCACCAAAATATTTAATCAAGAGAGATTGAAACTTGACTTGAAATAACTTACTTTTTTTTTTTTTTTTTTTTTTTTTTTTTTTTTTTTTTTTGGATTTGGATTGGATATATTGCCCATATATAGTTTGGTATTCTTTTAATTTTTATGTTACTTCTAGTAAGAAACTGATGCGATGATGTCTTCCTGATTGCGTATATATACCTTATAGATGAAAATACAATGTGTCATTTCTTCTTCTTCTTCTCTTGTCATTCTTTTTCCATGTCTCTGTGATTTTTATCTTTTCATCGCTTTATTATGATCAACTTATGTCCTACAAAGAGAATCTGTTTGGATTATATATTGCCAAGGAACATGACCTTAGCTGTTGGCTTGCTCAAATTGGTATTCTTCTCTCTGTGTCCTTATCTCAACCCCAGCTCTGAGCCTAGCTTGTCGCTCTTTTCTAACTCGCTCGAATACTGCTAGGATCACCAGATTTGTTCACCATATTATGTTTCCAAATAATGTGGCAGTTGTGTAGAGATGATTGCCTAATACTCTAGGACATAGGCCGGTTCTTTTGTACTTGTCGTCCTCCTAATCCTACTTCTCTCTCTTGCTTCCTACCTCAGCACTACATCCACAAACCCATCTTTTCACCAAAGCCGTGCTTCCCCAATCCCGGCTGACCAATATTCTAGTGATCAACAAGGCCTGGATGAAGCCACTATAGTTAGTTATCCAAAGCTTCTTTATTCCATATATAGTTAAGCTCCAATATGGCATCAGCTCATCTGCTTCTTGCTGCCATATGCTTGGCTGATTACAAGGAAACCAACACGCTTCTTGTGTTACCGGATTGTGGTCACCTCTTCCATGTCAAGTGTGTTTATCCGTGGCTAGGCTGCCTGCTACTTGCCTCATATGTCGGCTGCTCCAGCTCCTCTCTGCATTTCTGTCACTCAGATAGCACATTTACTTACTAGCTAGGTAAGAGCCATGAGATTGGTATAACATATAAATCGTAAAATTTTAACAGATTAATTGGCTCTATAATTTTCTTTTATTTTAACACTTTGTAATAAGATTATTTCATCTTCTTGCTAGGAGCTAGAGCATTAACCTCTGTTTTTCCTTCCAAGAAGGTAAATTAATTCATTTGAAAAATGTTAAAAGAAAAACCTTTCTGCTTGCAATAGGCAGCTAGCAGAAACTAGGGTGAGCAGGGAAGGATAAAAATCCTGTATGTGGTCGGGTTCGGGGAAAGTTTTAGGTATGATGTTAGAGAGGCTTCCAACTCTGTCCCACGACTCTCATTACATATATAACTATATATTATTTTACATAGAATTATTCCCTACCTCTGCTAGTGTAAGGTTAGGCCAGTGTTTTGCTACATTTCCCGACCCTGTATAGGCCAGCTTTCCTCCTCAAAGATCTCACAAATTACAAATCCACAAGGAAATTAAAGGGATTTATAGAAATTAAATGCTAAATATTATTGAAAGGATCCCTGACAGACCCATGTTGTTGATTTCTATCTATGGTTTGATTCAGTGACTCCAAACAGGATCTTAAATCCACTAATTTTTAATCTACGTGCGAAACTATAAAAATGGCACTCAAGTAGTCCAAATTAGAAAAAGATAAATTCTGCCCTGTCCTAAGAAATCATCTAAGGGTAGTCAAATTATTCTCACCATTTTAGGTCCCAATCCAAATCAACTTTCCTAGACCAACCCATAAAAAAGAAGTAACACCAATTGGGAAAGCCAGCCAAGAAGCACCCCTTTGTGTATCAATGCTGCAGAGTTTGAAGGACCCTGAGGGGAACCATTATCAACTGTGGACGGAGCTGGACTTGTAACCTGCACATAAGGAGGCTGGGAGTTATCTGGAGACGGGGGCAGAGCCGGTATATGTGGCGATGAAGATGGCGGAACGGGAGGTGGAGAAGCACGAGGAGGGGAAGACGGTGATGGACTTGGTGTGGCGCAGGGGCACTCATTAACTGCAATGGAAATCTTTTGCCCAAGACTGCAGTAGTTTGAGATGTTGCACATGTAGTAGAACACGCCCTTTTCTCGCAATGGAATATTCACTGGACCACTGTTGAAGACCTTCAAGGGCTTGTAAGCTGTGCAGCTATCATACTCTTTCTTTGTCACTTGCAGCACATTGAAACGCCCCGCTTCGAAGTCAAAAACTGCAAACAAATTAAATTAATCGTAACGTTTTCTTGTTCGATATCCAAGCAGGGCCTCATAACATAACGTACCAAACTGTTTGTATATAAATCTTATATTACGTATGTATGTAAGATCATTAACGTTTTAAAATGTTTTGGTAAAGGAAAATTAACAGTGTATGTTTTCATGAACAAATTTGTATCCCAATATATACCGAGAGAGTCGCCGATCTTGAAGAAATGGTTAGAAGACCAGTTGGAGTAGTAATCAACAATTGGAGGTATGGCCCAGAATGTGTCTCCGACTGAGTATCTCATGCCCCCGCTGCCGTTCTGCGAGCAACCATAGGATGGAACAACCAAAACAACCACCATCACAGCCAATATAATGCAAAACTCCCTCTGCACAGCCATTGCAGAACACAGAGAGAGAGAGAGAGGAGAGAGAGAGAGAGAGAGAGAGAGAGGCTGTTTTCTCTGCGGTTTCAGAGAGCTGTAGCAAATGCAATGAAATGGAAGCAACAGTAACATGCAAAGAGGCCTGTAACGGGTTATATAAAGAGGTCAGAGCGATTTTCCATTTTCAGTTAGTCAATATTTCTTTGGCAACATTATTAATCTATTTATTCTCTGAATTTTTTTTTCTTTGGAAACAGTTTCTTAGCATTCATAATAAACATTGACCAAAAAAAAAACATTCATCATATACCTAAAGTATATAAATATTTTCTATTATCGTTATTTAGAAAATTAAATATTTGCTATAAATGTTAATTTATAGACTCATTTGATACAGATATAATGTAGTTAACAAAAGAGGAAAACTTTAGCCCCCAAAAAAATTAAGGAAAGCAACGGTAACATTAATGAAATAGATAAGAATGAACTCGAACGGACGATGTGGAAATACCATTAAACATGAAGAAAAATAATTTTGGTTCTGCATATGGCTCGTTTAACTCAGAAACAACAAATAGTTATGTTAAAGTGCTAGGGTTCTAAAGAGGCAATAATTACCAAGAAAAAGGGACAAAAATTTACGTTGGAGACTCTAAATTATCCTTCAAGTTTCCAGCCCTACAACCCTGTTCCTCCATGTTTATTAAATGTGTCAAATGTATATGGCCTGCCTGAGCACAACATGAACACAATCCGATTTAGTAAGGTCCGACACGACATGACACGACCCGTTTTTATAAAAAATAAGCAAAATTTACCCCTTATTTCATAAATGTCAGTTTTTAAAAAAAAATTTCAAAAATAGCAAAAAACTCACCTAAATAGACTCAAATGCCCTCAAAAGTAAAACCCACGTAAACCTAAAAACATAAACCTGCAATCTTTGTTTTCATTTGATTTCCAACATATAATCTCCCCTATGTTTCGATCAATGTTATATCATTGGAGAACTTGAACCATGAAGCTTCCCTACAATGCCCCCAAGCCTATATATCTTTCACTGAGTTGCATAGCAGTACAGCTGCTGGCACAAGTGTAAGTCATTTGAATCATGATCACTAGTCACCATATGTTTGCTCAAAGGCCTGTATTTGATGATGCGCTTCTAATTGCTTCTCGATGGTACCTTCCTGTTCCAATGATATAACATTGATCGAAACATAGGGGAGTTTACAGGTTGGAAATCATATTCATGGTTTAGTCCTCCAATGATATAACATAGATTGAAACTTTGTTTTTATTTTTGAAATCAAATTGAAAACAGAGATGAAGGCTTTGCCTTTTAGATTGACATGGGTTTTAGTTTTGAGGGCATTTGAGTATTTTTAAGTGAGTGTTTTGCTATTTTTGGAAATGTTTATAAAAATTGACATTTATGAAAGTAACGGGTAAATTTTGGCTATTTTTGATAAAAACTCTAAAACAAGTCTATTTTACCAACAGATAGTTTTAGTACATTTTTAATAAACATTGTGAAGAACATATAGAATCTTCCAGGCTCGTATGCTTGTTATTATCATGGACATCACATTGTTCGCAAGAAATATAAAACGAGTAATTATACCACGTGATCATACTATCGTACTATTCTTTAATTTATCAAATAGAACGACGCAAACTCACAATTGATAGATACAACAAATTCATGCCACAATTTCTCATAAATTTCATAAATTCAACAAACTAACATAGGAATTACAAGGCTACGCTTATATAGCGCACAAACCTCACTATTAAAAAAAGTAGAAAAGAGAAAACAATAAAGGAAAATAATACAGTATCTTCTTTCTAATTTAAAAAAAAAAGTAATTTAGAGAAGATATGCGAAGATACACACTGTTATGTGCGTAAATAATCTGAAAGATTGCTTAGGGCTTGGTTTTGGTGCATTATTTGGGACAGATTCCTTGGGGCTTTGTGCCCTAACTGACCTATATTGCTTGGGGCCGTGGTTGCCTTCATGGGGGCTTGGTGCATCACTTAACGACAGGACATAGTGCTTGATTTCTCGGCAATTGGGAGGTTGTAATGGTCTTGTATTCATCTCTGCATACTGCATTCAAGTTAAGCAACAGTAGAAATTAATTTGTATGAAAAATTGTTACTTCGATGATAGGTACTGATCGTTTGAAAGACACTACTCTCACGAGTTTTCACTTTCTTGAAGTAGGTCGTCAGTTCAAATCTCATAGACGCCGGTAGATGAATACGAATAAAACAAAAATCGAGGAATCAATTAATGACGATAAGGTTACTTACATCATCCACAGCTTTCTTGAAGTAACTCCACTTGTTCTCTTGAAACATGTTTTACCTGAGGGCAGTTTATGATAAGCTAAGTCTCTAATAATTTTTTCCGCTAAAAAGGATATGAAGAAATGCTAAGTAATTAGGGCTGATGAAGAGGTTTTGTACCCTTTCGTTTATGGTCCAAATAACTCCTTCAGTGCAAGGAGGGGATGTGAGTGATCCAATGTATCTGTAAAAACTGAAGCTAGTTCATTTTATTTCCCTTGGATCAATCGCTCCTAAGTGTACCTCCTTTGTAGCAACCTCAGACATCATATCTTTGTTCACCTGAAAATTGTAATAGTTGGAATAACACCATTCATCTCCTACAGTTTCTTTTATACAATTGTGTTAATCTTGAGGCCTTTTAGCATGGATGTTGCTAGTTTTGCAACACTGGCTGTCTAACAACGGGCTGTAGAGCATGATGTCTCGGTCGCTGAGAGGCTGTGATGGTCTTGCGTTTCATCTTTGCATACTGCATTCAGGTTACTGTACACAAGTTAGATAGGTGCTCAAAATTGATACTTAATGTAGTTAGTTCTAACAGAGGAATCACATGACAAAGACAAGGTTACTTACATCATAAACAGTTTTTTTTTTTTTTTTTTTTTTTTTTTTTTTTTTTTTTTTTTTTTTTTTTTTTTTTTTTTTTTTTTTTTTTTTTTTTTTTTTTTTTTTTTTTTTTTTTTTTTTTTTTTTTTTTTTTTTTTTTTTTTTTTTTTTTTTTTTTTTTTTTTTTTTTTTTTTTTTTTTTTTTTTTTTTTTTTTTTTTTTTTTTTTTTTTTTTTTTTTTTTTTTTTTTTTTTTTTTTTTTTTTTTTTTTTTTTTTTTTTTTTTTTTTTTTTTTTTTTTTTTTTTTTTTTTTTTTTTTTTTTTTTTTTTTTTTTTTTTTTTTTTTTTTTTTTTTTTTTTTTTTTTTTTTTTTTTTTTTTTTTTTTTTTTTTTTTTTTTTTTTTTTTTTTTTTTTTTTTTTTTTTTAAAAACAAGCGCACCACCTCCTTCAACACTATTGTTGTTGTTCGGAATCTCTGCCATCGTGCTTGAACCTTCAGATTCGGAACTTCTAGAATCAGCGCTTGAAGAACTATAATTCCTCCTCAAACCAGCACGTACAGCAGCGGTTCTTGGTGAAAGTGGCTCAGGTGAACTTTGCTCCTGATCAGATTCGGACATGCACACACCAAGGAACTCAATTCAGTGCTTTCAGTGGAGATAACAACTAAACACAAAAACAGAATACTAAAAGAAAAACCAACGAAAAGAAACAAATGAAACAAACAAAAACAAAACAATCAAAGTAATCTAACTATAGCACCATCGTTACCGGTTCCCCGGCAACGGCGCCAAAAACTTGTTGAGCCTTTTCTTAACAACTAAAATGAGTTATTAAAAACAGCAACTTTAATTCTCGCAAGTGCACGAACCGTTTATAGTATAGCTTATGTAAATACGAGGTCGATCCCACGGAGAATGGTAACTTGGTTCCAAGTTAAATTACTTAGAATGCTAGAAAAACATAAAACAAAGAAACTGACTAACTAGCTAAAGGCAAGTTCGAACTCAACAATGCCCCTTGCTAATTACTCAAGGTCTAGGACAGAATCCTAGCACCACACACGCACTCGAAATGGGGGGGTTTTGTTGTTGAAATGAAAAGAAGAACGTGAAATGAAAGTGCTCGAAAATAAACACTGGCAGCAATCAACAAGTTGTGAAACAAAGATTGAGAGGTGTTAGAGCCTTGGAATCTACCACTAGTCTTCCTATCCAAGTTATGAATGCATAGAAATTGACTCAAGCTTCATCAACAATAGATTATCGCATACAAGCCTATGGTATCTAGGTGCAGGATGCATGATTCTCCTAAGGCATGTGATTGTGCATGGTATCTACACAACACTTGATCTCTAATATGCAACCTAAGCATGGTATCTACTTAGAATAAAGCATACAAGAGTCATTAAGCTCCTTGAGAATATGATAATCACACAAGTCCTAGAACATGGTATCTGTCCTAGTCAACTTATGGTTATTAACCCCTTGAATGATTCTTAGGCCATTCATGTGTTGCTTGTGAAAGGAGAGTAGAATTGGTGAATCTAAACCCCTTCCCAACCTGTGCTAGATGCATAAAATCCTAGTTAGCTACTCTAAGCAAACATACATCAAGCACATGATAAACTGGAGATTAACAACTTGATAATGAAATAAAGGAAAATCAATTAACTATAAAATCATCCATAACATTGAATATTCATGACTAGGGCTTCATCCTAAGCCCTAACTAAATGGATTAGTTAGACATAACTATGAATACAGAAAATAAGAAATACATAGATAGGATAAAGAGAGGAGAAGAACTAGATGATGGCAGCAAGGAATTCCCAGGACAGCTCCAAGCTCTCTTCTCTCTTTGTGGTGAATCTGAATTTGTGTATGAGAGTAATGGGTGAAGTGAAAATGTGTATCTGACTCTCTCCCCCTTGAATGAGTGTGCAGCCCTCTATTTATAGAGTGCAATTTCGTCCTCCCCTTTGGCTGGTGAAGCACACCTCTCTTAGCTGCTCCCAACAACTCCAGCAGCCCATACTTGCCACTTGCTCCAGATGCCCATACTTGCCACCTGCTCCAGCTGCCAAATACATGCTTTGGTATGGTTTTTTAATGGAAAACTTGACTTTTGTTCATCATTCTGAGTTTCTGAACTGATTTGACTCCCATGTATGGCTGCCCATGCTTAGCACATGGCTCTAGGGATGTAGATGTGATGGCAGCCAGTCATGACATTTCTGTGAACTTGGTTCAGTCTTTGACGTGCTGAGGGCTCCAGATTTATCCAATTGGGCTGAAATTTGGATATGTTATAATAGACACCAATTGGAACAACTTCTATCAAGGATGTCTCCTCATCCGACCTGTGTAAGTTGCTGAAATGAGGACTGCAAGATGACCCACGAAACTGGACTGACAAGGATTGTGGCCCAAATTGGGTTTGTCCTTAAGCTCATATTCCTCTTATCCCAATCAGCCCTTATCAAGCATGGATTGCATCAAATGTGATCTCTTGCTGTCTTAACCTACAAAACACACAAACATAGGTAAGAGACTCAAAATAAAGAGAAGCTAAACAAAATTACTAAGCAAAGAAGGCATGCAAATGTGTGAAATTATGACCTTATCAGTTTTAAAGCAAATTTTATTTTGGCATACATGTGCTTTTGGTAACTCAAAATTTAACTGGAATGATTTTCCTGAAGCAGTGCTAAGGATTCTCTAGACTTCTGGTAAAACTTAGTAGGGATTAGACCTTTCTGAATACAGTTAAGATCAGCTCCTGAGTCAAATAGGGCAACTGTGTTCAACTCAAAATTTTGGACAAATATTGTCACTTTCGAATACCATTTTCTAAAATTGACTTGTTTGATCAAATTCACAACTTGTTGGCTATCAGAAGGTTCGTCATCAGCATTGTGAGGACTTTCTGACTGGCTTTTGGACTCAGAAGACTCTTTTTCCATAAGACGGACTAAATCTTGCTTGATTGCATAATTTTCATTTTGTAATTTATGACTTATCTGTTTTAATTCAACTATTTCTTTTTTAACCATTTTTACTTCTAATTGCAGATCTTGTAAGGTAATTTCTTTCTTTTTAGCAAATTTTTCTAAAGTGGTATTTAAACTAATCAGCTGGAGAACAGATTGACTTGGGCTTTCTTGGCTAATGACTTTTCTTAACTTCTTTAAATACTCAGATTTCAATTCAGGATTCTCAACTTTGCTTATTAAATCTATTAATATTCTTCTTGTTCTTCTTCTTTAGTAAGAACAGAAATGGATTTTAATCTATTACAACATTTATCTTTACAACCAATTTGGATATTAGGTGAGCTGGACTGTGAATCTGAAGACTGGTCAGATTCAGACTCAGAGCTGGCCACTATGGTTTCATCATTGCTTGTTTCAGAGTCTCGCAACTCTAAAACCTTTATCAACTTTTCTTTTTCTTCATCTGTAATTTTCAACTGTTTAATAATATCCTTTATTTTGCGTTCAGAGGCATAATGACCAAACTTTTGACATTTAAAACATTTGACTTTGGTTTTATCATTATTTTCTCTTGGAATGATTATTCTTTTGACTTCTTGGGGCTTTCGACCAATTTTTCTTAGGGGAAAATTTCTTTTTTCTATAGAACTAATGATTATCATCATCATGTCGGAGAATTGTTTTCTACGTGAATAATGACGATGTTTTCGAATGTGACTGTTCCTAATTCATATTTAGTTGATTTCCTGTCAGATTGTATTTGTCTACCAATTTTAAAATCAATACACATTCTCATACCAACTTGGTTGATTGTACTTATGATATTTCCATATGTTAAGCTATCCCAATCTATATGGCCTTGTTCATTACTCAGGGTCGTGCGTATTTTGTGGGCAAACAAATTTGGAAGACCATTAACAAACTTTTCTTTCCAGAAAAGTTGATTACTATCATCCCTAAGCATGACTCTAGAGATGAAGACATCTTTGTACCATTTGAAATCAGACAACTTAGGACATTTAAGATTACTAAGCTGGTCATGGATCCTGGCAGTAGTATTACTAGGGGTTCCAATGAAATGCTCAATTATTGTGTAAAACAAAGTGTTGACTCTGTTTTCTATACCTTGACCTATTTGTTCGTCAAATATAGGGAGACCATCTTCATTAAGTTTTACAACATGAATAATCAGATTCTTGGACTCAGGGGTTAAGTGCTTATCCCACCAATACCTGAGAGTACCGGTAAACCCAGTAACTAACAGGGGTACAATCTCAAATTGTCTGAAACTGTGATTGGTGATGTAACTGTTGGCAACCATGGACATATGTTGTAACTTATTAAAGATTTCTTGCTCAGACAGACCATCAATATTCCATTCATTCAATTTATCAGAAGAAACTGAAAACTGGGTTTGGAAGTTTCTTTCTTCAAACTGGATATCTGGAGAAGTTGGTCTGGGTACCA